AATAAAACAAATAAATAAAAACCTATTTTGCGCCTGGACTTTTCCTAAGTGTTTGGTCGAGCTTCTCCTACAATTTGTGGTGTGCGTTCTGATGTTATAACCCAAATGGAGGGACATACAATTTTTTTAACCAGTACCTCTTTCCAGGCAAATATACACTCGGAGGTCTTCCATTGCCACCTCTACAGCGCGATTCAATTTTGAATACATACGAATATAGTATGCATCACTTTTTTATTGCACCGCCAACTAATCAGCAGTGGCTTTTCCAAAATTTAACGGTATCGACTGTTTTGCCCGAAATTTTATGTTGGAACGGCATTTACAAATAAAAAGAAGGCTACTAAAATTACTTGAAACTATGACATATTTATTAAAATATAGCATGTAATTAAACATTTAAATACAATGACGTCATACTTCTATAAACAAAATCAACAATTTTAATTTATAAAAAAAAAATACAAATCGGAGCTTAGACACCATCTACATTTGCATTACAAAGTAATTACTCTTTGATTAGAGTTTGTAATGTGCTTGCATATATTCCAAATTACTGTCTATTTCTGAACTGCTATCCATCACTTCCTTCGCTGCTTGGAGGTAGGATTTGGCGCGCATCAAGTCTCCCGTGTGTGCTGCCAGTACAGCCAGGTTGTTCAGTGCGGCGCCGTTACGGGCGTCAGAGGTCAAACAGAGCTGGAGACAACGTCGGGCCAAGTGAAAATCTCCAGTAGACTTGAAAGTAAATTTTTTAAATGTTAAACTATGTACATAGATATATGTATGTATGTTTGTATTGTATAAACATACAAATTGTGGAGTGTATTAGGATGAGCATACGTGTGTATTAGGGATGTCAATTTTCGGGGTTTTGTCGATCCCGGGATTTTCGGATTCTGAAAATACAATCCCGTTATCCCGGGATTGTCCCGAAATTCAGGCAAAAGTGCAACACATCTGTGATCATCCTATTATAGTATTTTAAATCTGATTGATATAACAAAAAAAAAGTACAATTTATTGTAATTCATTTACATTTATTAAGGCGATAGATCAGTATTTTCAATCAACAAAAAACAAACAAAATTTGACAAACATATATGTATGTATGTGCATATCCTCATTAATTTATAACATAGTTTTTGTACTACAAGTACAAATGCATATACGGTCACTCACAGAAATATTTTGCATAGATTTTTTTTTGCAATATTCAGAATATTTTTCATGGTATTTTTTTTTTGTTAATTTAAAAAAATATATATATGTATGTGCATTTTTGAAGTTGCTAAAACATCCCGTTGACATTTTATATTTTTTTTTTGCCACAAAAAATCATCGTCAGTAAAAAAAATTCAAAAATCAAGGGAGTTTTTAGCAACTTTAAAATTGCACTTTATTGTATTAAATTGAATGGGCTATAAAACTGCATAATAGAATTTTTTGTAAAAATTATGATTAAAAAGTTTGATATTTTTATGATAATTTGGTGAACTTAAACGAACTCTCTCTAAAGTGTGAAGTTTTGATTTACATGATTTTTGTTGTAAAATGAGCTAAATACTTTTTTTAATGCAAAATATTTTTGTAAGTGAATGTATTTGGTATAGCAGTAACTGCCTATGTAACTATATAAAATTTTTTAAATCACTGTTTGAGATCAATTTAAGATATTATCAGTATATTTAAGTAATAATAAAAAAGTTAACACATTTAAGTAAAAAATAAATATATAAGTGCATCACCTATTCCATTTTGAGCGAAGCAAAATCATTCCTTCTTTTGATGGAAATGCGATCTTAAAGAAATTATAGCATTAAGGGTTGCAAAAAATTCTTGTTTTGCCCTTGAGAGGGGATATTTGTGATACAAATTTAATTGGCTAACAAAAAAATTGTTTCCAGCAATCCCGGGATTTAAATCGACAATCCCGGGATATTCGGGACTTAAAAAAGACCGGGATCCCGGGATTGACATCCCCTAGTGTGTATATGTACATATGTACATATGGATATGGGTAAATGCATATTAATGTTTTACGAATACGAGTACAAATAGAATTTCCAAAATTATAAAAAATATTTGCTTGTGCAAATAATATGTAAGTAGTAAGCTTAATGTGACCAACTATTTCAAAGCTCAAAGAAGTACAGGTTAGGTTAGGTTAAGTTAACACCGCGAGTTGATTACAAAATTTCGAATGCAGCTAATTTCGAGCCCTGAAATCTCAGCGTTTTTTTCAGAAGTGCGAGCCAAAATGCTTCCATTTTAGCCTCGCGAAGGTTGGACAGTCTAAAAGAAAGTGTGGAGATGATTCCACTTCATCTTCCTCTTGACAGCTGATAAAAAAGGATCAGTTGAAATTAATAGTCTCACCGCATGACTACCAATCGCACAATGGCCTGTCAGAACCCCCATCACTAGCCCTTGAGAGGTAACGTGTTTGAAAGTGCCCTATAAAAATATTTGCTGCAGCAGAGAAACGTCTTATTTTCCTTTTTTATGTCACAAAAGGGCCCGGTTTCGTTTAGCCTAATAACAGTTCGCGCTCCGACAATTCTGTCTACAATATCCGCAGGCGCCGTGATCAACATATGAATGTTAAGCGCCAGTGTAGGTGTGGATCCTAATGCTCCGCTAATTCCTCTTTTACAAGTGTAGCCTTCTCGAGTCAGTTCCACCAGACAAGGGCTCCTTGAAAAAATATAGGCTTAAATCTGGTTTCTTAGAGCTAATGAATTAATTTGGGCGAGAGACCTCACCTTTTACCGATTGCACCCTACAGCAGTACAAGGCAACCAAAACCTTTCTTACCCTTTCCTCAATATTAGGCTACCACGACAGCCGCCGTTGATCGCCGTTTTCAGCAACAATGAAGAGAGACTGATTGGCCTAAAATACCAAGTGGAAACATGTGCGCCTTTTCCGGTCTACGGGATGAACGCAACACTGACTACCCTCCAAGCCTTGGGGATGTACCCGGTCCTCACGCAGTTCGCATAAATAGGATCCAACCAATTGCACGACACCTTCAGAGGCCTTTGCAGCTGCGCAGGTATGATGCCATCGGCGACTTTAATGGTTTGAACGAATTTATCGCCTAGGCCACGTGACGATCGTCCGGAAGATCGGAGTAGCGCAGGACCTGGGGGGAGCTTCTGAAAGCGGTTAGCGACAGTTTTCGAATCGCTATCGCACTTTTTGACGCAAAAATATTTATATCATGTGTCAAACAGTGCGATAGCGATCCGAAAATTGTCGCTAACTGGTTACGAAATCTCTCTCCTGATGCACAAAATATTGCAAAGAAGTACATTTGACTGTACTTCGAAGTACGAAGTACAAGAGCGAAAAAAGAAGTACTGTACTTCCGAAAGAAGCACGGTTGGTCACACTAAGTAAGCTAGAAGTAATGATACCATAGTGCTACAAAAAAAAGTCTCGAAATACACCCGAAACAAAACTCAGTGCAGGTTGTAGGTAGGGTCGAATATAACATGAAATTGCTTTCTTTTATGGTGATTTCGTTTCTACCAAAATATGTCGCCTTTTGATTGCCCCTTTCTCTTTTCGTGTTCGATTCTAAATTAAAGTCAACACTGACCGTGTGGGTACATGTAGGAAAATTCCCTACTCGTAATGATTTTAGTCCAAAAAAATTAGTGTAGAGAAAAGAAGGACAGATTTTTATAAATAAGTTGAATATAGGGCTTTTTCGAAAAATCTAAATTTTTATGCAAAAAAATTTGTTTCACTCAAAATGCAAACATGTAGATAATAGCAGAGAACTTAGATAGATAGAGAAGGTGCAAACTGAAAGTGGAAACTATTCGCGGACGAAAAATTAACAGCCTTAGAAAAGTTCAAGTCGGAATGTAAAAATTCTGTTGAATTTAATGTTG